CCCCAAAACCCCAAAACCCCAAAACCCCAAAACCCCTTTCTCATTGGCTGGTATTGATCTTTATTTTAAAACGAGGCTAGATTCCACAAATTAATTTAAATGGCAGTTATTGCTGTAAGATTAGTGGCCAATTTCTTATCTCCCAGATCTCCGCTTTGGAATTCCTAAATGGCTTTCTTCCATTTTGTGACTAAACTTTAAGATTAATGAGTCTATAGAGAACAACTGAAGTAGAGTTTTCAGCTCGAGAGTCAGACTCAGACAGATCTCATGAAACTGAAGCATCAGAATTCGCCAGATCTTACTCAGAGGAAATTGAAGGTGGCTTCTCTACAGATCATAGCCATGAGGCAGATGCAGAACCAAAGCCTATGCTTTGTCCGATCTGCTATATTAATATTGAAGTTGAAGACCAGGATCCACTTGAGTGTGGGCATATCTTCCACCCAGAATGTATCCGAATGCATATTGAAGCAAAGGTAGATGCAAGAAGTCTCCCAATTCCATGTCCTGACTACAAGTGTGGCACTATGTTAACTCGTGATGAGGCTGATTTTTTTTCAGACGAAAAGCTGTACAACAGGCTTGAGAAGTTGCAGAAAGAGCTCATAATTTTACAGAGCAACAACTATTTCATCCAGTGTCCTGAGGACGGCTGCGAGTTCATGGGTGAGTGGGACAAGAATGAGGAGGAAACCTCCATTCTGTGCACAGACTGCAACTCTAACTATTGTGCCATCTGTAGAGTCCCGTTCCATCATGGTAAGAGCTGTGACGAATACTGTGAGGAAACAGGAAAAATAAAGAAGCATCCTGATCTGCTTACACTGAACCACTTTCAGTATCTCATCCAAAGCAAACTGGGCTTCCAGAGATGCACAAACTGTGACCTGATTATTTTAAAGGAAGAAGGATGTAACCATATACGCTGTATTTGCGGCTACAACCTGTGCTATACCTGCGGTGGTAGATATGGACATTGTAGATGCATTCATTAATACTCTTCAAATCGTCACATAGAGTTTAATATTGCATTACATCGATTCACCCTCAAAGCAAATAAATAATTTATACTAAGAATATTTGATAACTCTTTATCTTAATGTGCTAATGAACCCTAAGCAGAGGGTGATATCGGCTGCAAAATCTATGTATTTAATCCAGTACTCCTACTTGGAGCAAATATAGCACTTTCATCTCATTCTTTGGACATTTTTAAGGAAAATTTCAGAAATCTCCCAGAATCTTTTGCTTGTGAAACAATATTTCTGTGACTTACTTTCTTAGTGACGCATCAATGGGCCTAATTATCAACTAATCTCTCAAAACCTAGGCAAAATAGGGCAGTATTAAACACCAAAATTAGAATTGGAGTACTTAAGGCCACATAAAAAACTCCTTGTGCTTATATCGGCTGAATTCCTAAGGATAAGTTCAACCAAAAATATCTTTGCTGGGGTTTTGGGGTTTTGGGGTTTTGGGG